TCCTTCCTTCCTTCCTTCCTTCCTTCCTTCCTTCCTTCCTTCCCTCTTTCCCCCTTCCCTGAAAAGGAAGGCTCTTCCTTGAATGACCTGGAGAACAGCCCAAGGGTTTCCCCTTCCCCTTCTAGCAACCCCCTTCCCCACCATTAGGGGAAGGGGAGGGGAAAAGACTGTCCAATGCATGTTATGGTTTCTATCTCCCTATTCCAGAGAGAGAGGATGCAGAATTATCTCTCCGCGGGTGCACCAGGCAGACAAAAGGAAGAGCAAAGAACTGGGGGGGGGGGGGGATGCCTTCCTTCAAATGAGCTCTGGGGATGCAGCTGTTCTCGGGGTGCCCCTCGCTTTCCCCGGCTCCTCCTGCAATGCTTTTCCCACCTCAAAGGGCGGTGGAGTGTGTGTTGGGTGTGTGTGTGTGCGCGCAGAGACAGGCTTGGTCCCTTTGATTTGCACCGGGGAGCAACTGAGAGATCCTTAGGAGGTGGGGGGCGGTTGCTGGCCTGGTTCCCCCACCCCCCCCCCCCGCTTCGCCCAAGGCGGTTGGGTTTCCTTGCTTGGGTGGTTTTGCTTTACAGGTGAGGCGAGGAAGCGAGCTTTATGGCCGGAGGCAGAGATGCGACACCACACCGGCGGAAGAGCCACGCCCCTAGTGGGAGGAGCCAGAGCCCACCTGGGGAGGGGGATTCGGGGTGTCGAAGGGGCTACCTGCCTTCCTAGGGCTGAAGCAGCCGCCTTTGCTCCTACCAGCCCCCCCAAACTGACCGTCACCCCTTCCTCCAGCTAAAATCATGCTTATGCCAAGAGATCACAGCTTAAGCAAACCGTGGTTTGCCACCGGGTGGGAACCGGGCTCGGAGGCAGGGCTGGTAGGGGGGGCGGCCGGGCTTTTGTTTTGGGGGGGGCGCAATGAACCCCCCCCATGGGCGATCCTGAAGGGGGCGGAGCGAGGCGCCCCCACTCGGTCTGCAAGGGTCGCCCGCCGCTTTGGCACCCACGCGCGGATCGGCCAAGGCACCGTGGGCAGGACGAAGGGGGGGAGGGGAAACGCCCAAAACGACCCCTCCCCATTTGGAAAGGCCGAACCCCTTTCCCGCGGCCCCCCTTGGGCTTCGTCCCCCTCCTCCTCCAGAAATGTGCGGGGGGGGGGAGCTGAAGACCGGGCGGGGGGGGCTGCAAAGGGCGCGGCCCACGTCCTAAAGAAGGCGGGTGGAGAAGTAACCCCAAAGAGCTTGGGGGGGGGGGTGTCTTACTCCTGTTAACATCCATCTATTGTAAGGCGTGATTCGGCTTATCAAATAAACCACAGTAGGTAGATAGACCCAACACGCACAAAGCTTCGTTTGGAAACCACAGCAGCTCAATTCACGCACGTGGTTAAAAACACACATGCAGAAATTGCTTTAAGGTGTGTGTGTGCGGCGGACTTCAGCCTCCTTTGCCCAGCTGATGGGCCGAAAATGCACTTTGGACTTGCTCAGGAGCACAGCCATCCAATTCTAACGCTGCCAGCTTTTGGGGTCTGTGTGTGTGAGAGAATATGTGCTGGGAAGGAAAACTTTACAACTGTTTTGAGAAGCTTCTTTTTTTAGTTTTTTTTTCAAGCTGCTCCTGCCCCTCCGCTTCCTTGCCAACCTCCCTGCCTTGTAATTGAATTTCACACCAGGCTGCCTGCCTGCCCCCGTGACAGGTTGGGCTGCTAATTTCTTTCCTTCCTTTCTTTCATTCTTTCTCCTGTCTCTTTCTACAAGAGAGTGAAGGGCCTTCTCCTTTCTTCTCCCCCATAACCTCCCTTGCAGCAGCCACAGCAATCTATGAGATTAAATTGATTTGCTTGCAAATAACGGACTAACAAGGCAGATACATATATATATATATGGATTTCCCCCTCCCCACTCTTGTATAAAAACACCGTCGCTTTGAAAGAACCTCAGACTCAGCCTGTGTCACTCCGAAGGCTTCTCTCTCTGCCCTGAAGGTCTAATATTTCCAATACAGGATGATCAGAAACCCCCCCCCCTGTCCCCCCTTTCCCTCCCCCCCCCCCCCCATCACGAAAGAGCTACGAGCAAGAACTTGTTGAGCTTTTTGCTCGTCACTCCCTTTTCAAAAGTTGGGAATTCATCCCACGTGGTTCATGGATGGTTTGGGCGAACTCAGCAGTTGGGCTAAAATCTATTTATCAATCAGAATGGCTTGATTTACACACTTACCTGGTCTTGTCGCAATACGCAAGTTGAATCCAGAAGCTTCGGAAGTTTATAAATTAGGCTTTTATGGCTTGGAGCGTTAACACATTTCCGTGCGTTTATTATGCACCGGAGTTTGACAGACCTTGGCAATTCTGCAGGATCCGTGGCAAATCCCAGTGGTTTTACCTGGCTGGCTCTTTGGGACTTTGGGAAAAGTGGGCAGCCTGGTTTTCCTTTTCCCACTAACTCTTCATGGCTTTCTCCTGCGAATTTCCCCGCACAACGTGGCCAAAGTAAGTTAGATGTCTTTTTTTTGTGTGATTTTTTGTCCTCCAGTGACAAATCTGGTGTTAGGCACTCCAGGATTGCCCCATCCTTGGAGCCTTCTCCAGCACCAGCGCTCAATTTTTTTTCCCCAAACCGAGGTTAAATCGGGGACACCTATGAGGACGCCCCCCTCTCAGGCGGGACAAGGGGGCCTTCAGCTGTGGCTCCCCCTCCTTCCCCCTACCCAGCCTGGGCAAGGCCTCCCCCGCCCCTGTTCTACCACCACTGGCTCCGGAGCAGATGGGCAACCACGTCAGCGGGCAAACACCGGGGAGCGACGGAGCACAGGGGTCCGGCTGCTCGGACAGACACCTGGAGGGGGCCGACCCCGGCCCATCGCCCGAACAGGCCAGCTCCCCACTGCCATAGGCAGAACAGGGGCACAAAGCCACAGCCCCTCCCTGGAAAGGGATTGCTAGCTCGAGGGCCCCCCCTGGTGACCCCAGCTGGCCTTTGCACCCTGAGCATTATCAGCCATTTCTTGGGAGGCAACAGGAAGGTTTGGGGGAACTCAACCTCCCTCTCTCCCCTCCCCAACTTGGCTTGTTAACCTCCTTCTTCCCTTTTGCAAAGCTACTTTCGCGTGTGCTCTTTGCTACTCTGGGGTCCCCCAAGGAGAGGAACAGGCCAATAAAAGAGGGGTGGTTTTGTATATATATATATATATATTTGCAGGTGCTTCCTTAAGCATCTTGCACCAAGACCTAGGTCTCTGAAAGGGGAAGACAGTAACTCTTCCTCCCCATGTAAAAGATGCGTGACACACGCATGACCGATGCTGCCGACACTCCCAGGTTTCAAAGCATTGATAACAGATTGTGCGAGAGCTTTGCCTTTTTTTCTCTCTCTCTCTCTTTAATCTGTTTAATCCAAAGGAATGTTCTTTGGGCTTTTTTGGGGGGGTCCTTGGAGGCTCAAACTAAAGAGATAAAGGGATTTGCAGCTTTGAATCAGCAAAAGGAGTTTCCAGAAACTCTTTGGGGGGGGGGGGAAGGGGAGGAAAAAAAAGAAAGGAAACTTGGGAAAAGGATGCCCGGAGACGAGCCAAGTTCCTAACGATCGCTTCCTCGTTAAGGCTTCTATCTCGCTGTGCCAAAGGAGCCAAAAGGGAACGACAATCATTCCCAGGCTGGATTTGCTCGAGTGTGTAAACTTCATTTTCACAAAAGGGGACATTAAATACACACACACACATATATATATCTTGCCGCTTGGTTAAGTGGGTGGCTAAGTGCACGCCAAATGAAAGCAACGTGGACCAGGTCCAAGAATGGCTACCTTAAAGCAGGATAAATGGTTGTGGATTAGGGAGGGGGAAACGCCCCCCCCCATAGGATGTGGAGCAAATTATTTCAAAGCTCTCGTTTGCTAATTTGTAAAAGTATTTCAAGCATATCGCAAAGTCGGCCTGGCTCTGCTCTGCAAGTGGAAAGGGAGGAAGAGAGCCAGCTCGTGGGAAGTCTCTGCTTTTCTCCCTCAGATCTTTGAGCAAGTTAGGGAGGGGGCTTTTGGGGGGGGGGCTGCTTCTAGCAACACCCCACTTTTGCCTTCCAGTTGTGATTCACACAGTGGGGCCCATCGCCCAGGGCCAGCCCAGTTCCTCGCAGGAGACCGAACTCGGCGACTGCTACAAGAACAGCTTGAAACTCGCCTTGGAAAACAAGCTGCAAACAGTGGTGAGTAGACCAAGCAGGACCTGGAAGCCCAAGGGGGATCACCTGGTGGTCCCCTGATCTCTCTTCAGCAGCGCTCGTCAACACCACTCGTCCCTTGAGCTGGGGACGATGGGAGCCGGAGTCCATCACGCGTGGAGGTCATGAGGCTGCCTGTCTCGTTGAATGCTACTTAGAAATGGATGAATAAGACCAGCGTTTCTCCATCTTGGCTACAATGAAGAGGGGTGGACTTCAACTCCCAGAATTCCCCAGCCAGCAGGGGCTTCTGGGAGTTGAAGTCCACACCTCTTAAAGAAGCAAAACACGGATCTAATTCATCCATTTCTAAGTATTGCTTAAGGAGCTTTTCTGACAGGGAGACCCGATCAACCCATGGAAGAGAAGTTGCCTTCAGAAGTTGTGGGAGCTTCAACCCTGGAGGCTTTCAAGAAGAGACTGGACTGCCACCTGTCAGGAATGGTGCAGGGTCTCCTGCTTGGGCGGGGGGGTTGGACTAAATGACCTACAAGGTCCCTTCCAACTCTGTTAATTTGAACTGCAGGTAAGCAGCCAGTTTCATTTTTCCCAGTCTCAATCTGCTTCTATGGCAGAAACCCAGTAAATCCACTGGCTAAAACAATGACAGACTCCAACTCAAGAGTGTTGGGGAAGACCAGAAGGGAGGAGAGGAGCCACAATTGAAGGCCCAGTTGGGGTTTGTTATAAAGTCATAAAGGTCTGAGAGACATCAGCTCCACCACGCAAGCCGGAGATGCTCCCAAGGCTTCCCAGGGGACCACCTTAAACCTCACTCCATCTGGACGGGAGAAGAGCCAGGGGCTTTTTTTTAGCAAAGGTTCGAGAAGGCCGCCTTCAGAGGCCTCGACTTACGACCTGCGATGCCCAGCCAGCTTTGGATACTGAAGAGTCCAACGCATTTGCTGAATAACAGGGCTGGAAGGGATCTTTGAGGTCTTCTAGTCTAACCCCCTACTCAAGGAGACCCTGAGGGAAACACCATCCAAAACAACGGGGGGTTAGAGGGAGGGGAGATGTTGAGGGAAGGACGGTAGAATTTACGTTTTCAGCTGAGTCGAGACAAATTCAACTTCGCTGCGATTTTGACCTTGAAGGATCTCTGGCTACGTTCCCCATTTATTGCCCCTCCTGCCCAAGACACCTTTTATCCACATCGCCCTCCTTTGGAAGTTGATGCTTCCCAAGCTGCCAAGGAAGGAAAAGGGGGATTTGCCCCTTTTCTCACCTTCGTACGAGAGAAACGTTTTAGGGACCATTTTGTATCGGAGTCCAGCCCCATCCTTTAACCTTCTTCTCTTCACATTCCTCTCTGCCTACAGGCCTTCCCCTGTATTTCCACCGGGGTGTTTGGTAAGTACCAAGGCAGAGGGGAAGAGAGAAAGGTGGGCAGGATACCTGCCCAGGTATTCGGCCACTTCCAATGTTCCTTCACAGGCTACCCGAATGACGATGCTGCGGAGGTTGTTCTCAACACATTACACAGTTGGCTAGAAGGCAACAAGGACAAGGTATATGGGTGGGCCAAGGCCTTTGGCGGGAGCTGGAAAAAGCAGCCGTTTGGCTCGGCCCGGTGTCTCTTTCTGACCAAGCACACAATCTTAGCTTCTCAGCCAACAGCTGGCCTTTTGCAGGGGGTGGTGTGTACTGTAGGATAGGCGGGGAAAATTGAGAGGGGAAAAACTCTTTTAAAGGGATTATTAGTAAACCCATGCAAAGCCCCATCACAGAATTTGGAGTAGTGCTCTCCACTTATAGTCCTCTACTTATAACTGTTCGTTAAGTGACAAAAGTTGAAGAGCTGTGACTTACCTGTGTTAGAAATCCCTTCAACCCAAACTCTAATTTGAGATAAGAGTACCTTTAAACTTGGATTGGGCCAGGTGCAAGCAGTGTGTGAAGGCGGGCCCCACACATTTCCAAAGTGCCATCCTGACCTCCCCCCCCTCCCAGCTTCCTTTTCCTGCTAACCATGGTTATATCTTGGCCAGGTCGAGCGGCTGATCGTCTGTGTTTTCCTGGAAAAGGACGATGAAATTTATAAGGAGAAGCTGCCCAAGTTTTTTCCCATCGGTGAGTCACTGCTTGGGGCCTCAGTCTAGGTCAGTGATTCTCAACCCTGGCCGCTTTAAAGACGCGTGGACTTCAACTCCCAGAATTCCCCAGCCAGCAATGAATTCTGGGAGTTGAAATCCACCCGTCTTAAAGTGGGCCTGGATTGAGAAACCATGATTTATCTAGGTGGTGAAAGGACAATCAATGGCTTTCTGGGAGCCTTCCTCACCCTTCCTCTCATTTCCAGCCTGACCCCCCGCTTCCCATGCGCCGAAGGCGGTAAGCATTTCCCAGCACGGTGTGCAAAAGTGCAGTCGTGGGAAACGCATGCTGTGGTTTGGCCCTAACAGTGTCCTAGCCTGGTTTTCTCCGCCCACTAAAACTCGGTGTTTCCTCCGGTCCGAGCTGGGAAGATACACAGAGGGCCCATGAAGGGATCTCCCGGCCTGCACATATTCAACCTTATTCGTTTAGTGACTGAAGCTACGAGGCTGAGAAAAAGGGACATACAACTGGTCCTCACACTTACGACCATCACGTGATCAAAATTTGGATGCCTGACAAACCGGCGTGTGTATATTTGGATACACACGCCACAATGCAACCGTAGTGTATGTACAATGGTTGTCAGGGGCTCGTGAGCAAAATTCGGCAGTTGGTTCGTATTTACGACAGGTTGTGGTGTGTCCCAGGGTCACTGTGATTCTCCCCCCCCCCCACTTTTGTGACCTCATGACAAGCGAAGTCAATGGAGGAAGCCAGATTCGCTTAACGGCCGCATGATTCCCTTAACGGCTGCAGTGATTTCCTTAACATGCCCCCCCAAAAAAAGTTGGCAAAATTGGGCCCGGCTCAATTGAACGACCGCCTTGCTTAACAGTGGACCCCGATGTGGTTGTAAGTCAAGGCCACGCAAAGTGATACAAAAGGAAAATTGTGTGTCTTTTCTCCTTTTATGCACAACCAGTGACAAGAGAGAAATTCTGTAGGAGCAGAATAAAACTCCCAGCAGTTTTCGGTCACCGTTCTGGCCTCTTCTCCTTTGATGAAAGATGCCACCGTGTTTTAGCCTTTCTGGGCTGGACCTGCATGAAGAATGCAGAATTTCCCCCCATGCCGCTTTCACCCTTCACACCACAAAGCCACAGAGCCAGGCTTGCGTTAGATTCAGAAGGGCTCAGCGCCCAGCAGGAACGGTTAAAAGAACGAAGAACGGGAATGAATAAACCAGGATATGGCTCATAAAGGGCGTAACATTCCCACGTTTGGGTAAAGTCACAGGCCCGGAATCATCTCCACGAAGTCAGAAAACCAAGCAATTTTAAGAGGAGGAGGAGGATCAACAGTTGATCAGGTTTTTCTCTGCACTATGCAAACACAGGTCAAGTTTAAAACAGATTTTAGGTTTATTTACTCCTGCGCACGCTGCCCACTTCGCTATGAAAACTTTTGACCCACGGTCTTTTTCTCCATCGCTGAAGCCGGGGCGTCTTCCCACCTTGCCCGCCTCCCCCCTGAAGGTGCCACAACTGACCCACGGTGGTTTTTTTGGCCACCGGGGCTCACACGGGGCAGGTGCTTTGTCGGAAAACGGGGCGCTTACCCTAAATCCTTCTTTTTCCCAGCAGATCCCGCTGAGGAACCTCCGTCCTCAAAGCTCTGAAGTGGCTCCCCTGCAAATCCCGCTGCTTCTCTGCAGGAGGAGACGCCGGATCTTTTCCAAGGGGGGAAAGCTAGGAGAAAACAGCCCCCCCCCCTCTTCTTCTTCTTCCCCAGGCGCGATCGGCCGCAATGCCGGAATAAAAATGAAAAGAGGATCCGGTCGTGTCGCTGGTAAAAGCCTGGTGGGTGGATGGGGGCGAGTGAGTAGAAGCGGGACTGGGGTCCTGGGTGAAACACCCACATACACAGTACTTACACACACACACACACACACACACAGAGAATTACATCCGCCTACCTACTGGACCCCCCCCACCTCCCGGCCTATCCCGGCTAGACTTAAGCGACTGAGAGTTTCAGGCCCCCCCTTTTGGCAGACCGTTTTGCTGTGCTTAGCAGTTTTCTGCTCAAGAGGCTAAAACCAGGGGGAAAAAGAAACAAGCCATTGTTCGGCGTCTCCGCAGAGAAACCGGGACAAAAGACCCGAAGCCGAGACTTTGCGGCTCACTTTGGCACGGTGGCGGAAAAAAAAAACAGGGCAGGGGCTTGCTAGATGCCGTCGGCCAGCGGCCAAGGGACGGCCCTGGGGGGGCACGATGCAAAACCCTCCCCTCCCCCAGATGGTTCAACAGCAGACAAGCTGCCGTTACCTCTGAGCTCGGCTGCTTTGAGGGGAGAAGGCCCGGTCCTTGCTTCTGGGGGAACGGGAAAAGCCATTTTTTAAAAGAATGCAACGTTCAAGAAGGCTTGTCCTCCCCCCACCAGCAGCTCTTGGGGGGTTTGGGGGAAGGGGGGGAAAGAGGGCAGGGTGGGAGTACGAGGAGGATCTGAAAAAACTAGCAGGGAAAGTGGGGTGTGTGTGTGTGTGTTAGGGAGCACAATGGCACCGTCCGGTGGGTGCATTAGGCAGAGCAAACCACGGACGGTGGCAGCTCCAGGGGGCGCTCTTTTTTTTCCTTCCTCTCTTCCCAAGAGGCTGGCAAGTCACCTCCCACCACCCCGTGGTTTTCCTGCGCTCCACACAAGCAGGCCTGACCGGCACAACGTGCAAACACACAACTGCTTGAGCAGCACACACGAGCCCCCCTTAGAGGAGAGGGGTTCCTGGCCAAGGGAAAAACCAAATGGACTTGGAGCCCCCACCTCCAGCTGAGCCGCCGTTCCCAGATCACAACTTTAGCCCGTCTCGGCTTCCTGGCCCCCAAAAAAGCCCCCCAGGGGACAGGAAGTCCTCAACCTACGGCCACAGTTGAGCCCGGAATTTCTCTCGCTAAGAGAGGATGTCCGAGTTTCGCCTTTCTTTTGACGACCTTCCTCGCCAGAGTTGTTAACCGAAAATACGAACCAGTGGCCAAGCACCAGAACGTCAGTCGCGTGACCAGGGGAGACTGCAACGGTCGTCCGTGTGAAAAACGGCCCCTTTTTTCAGGGCCGTTGTAACTTCACAAACGGTCACTAAACGGATTTTTATAAGCCGAGGACTCCCTGTAGATGACAGCCTTACATTTAAACGGGGGGAAAAAGACCCAGAAGGAGATCTGAATTAAATTCAGGAACTCCCCGGTGAGGAAGTGGGGGGATCAAAGAAAGGCACAGAGTGACCTCTACGGAAGGGACAACCAGCCGGTCTCCTGAAAGACGGAAGCCACATCCAGAGTTGCCCTGCACATTTCCCTGCTAAAAATGGTTATTTCCTCCCAAACTTGAGGACTAGGATCTTGCGGGGTGCGGCCTGCCGAGGATGCATTTTAAAAAAAAAAAAAAAAAGATTGCGGGCTTGTGTGCCCTTAGGGCAGGGGGTCTCCAACCTGGGCCACTTTTAAAGACTTTTATGGACTTCCAAATTGAATCATCATCCGCTGGATCCTCTTTTCAAGTTGGAAGTCCCCCCGGTCTTAAAGTGGCCAAGGTTGGAGAGACCCTGTGCCCTCCTCCGACGTGGGCTGGGGGCTTCCTAGCCCAGAAACACTAGAGAGAAGCGGGGGGAAAAAAAGGTGGTCTCACCAGCCTCCCCTTTAATAAAACACAGAAGAAGAAGAGTGTAGCAACAAAAGCAGGGAAAAAAAATATATAATAATAAACAAACCAAGTGAGCGAGACGGGCAGCGGGAACGATCACCATTTACAAGCACAGACGAGGCTGCCCGGCGAGAGGGATTGGAGGGGGGTGGGAGAAACACGGGCGGGGGGGGGGGGG